TTACCATCAACATACTGTATTTCAGATATCAAAGCTCTTTTGTTTCTAATTACAACAGAAAAGGAAACTCTACTACTAGTATTTGAAGTCTATACAGGAAAATATTATTTAGTGCAGCCTAGCTGAATGTAGTGTGCTGCAGATGTGTTCTCTAGGGATTATGGAATTTAGAATCCAACACATACAGAAGAGCCCTGGAAAGATGACTCACTGATTGATTGGGGCTGTTTGGTGCTTAATTGACAATAATATTAGCTGTGTTCTTCTGATGGAAATTCATACAAACTATATGCAAATCCTTCTAAATTCCAGTATTGTCAGTTGAGTCCAAGAGTACTTTCCAAGGATCAGCCTTTCCATTACCCAAAATGTCTGATTCCACAATTGAAATAAAGCAGGGGAGCAACTCATTGTTATATTCAGTAGGTATGCAGAGACACTAAGGCAATGCTTTTGATCTTTGGTGACTTTAAGATGTGTGGAATTCAACTGACTGGGGAATTCTGGTACTCATCTTAAAGTTACCAAGGTTGAAAAATACTGGGCTAAGGGAAAGGACATGTTTGCAAGTAAATCAACAGTGTTGACTTGAGGGCCAATAGCCAGGCAGCATTTATCTTTCCCAACCTAGCCAATAGTTTAGGTTCAGTGGTGTCTCATCCATTAGTATTTCTTTGTTGGCCAATGAAAACTGCTTTGTCCTTTCTCCTTTATTTCACCTTTCCCCCATCTCTGTAAGTACAAAAGTCACACTATCAACATTTTTTATTTAGAGTAAGCAACTACCAAATAAGCTTTTTATGCTTGTTTGTGTTTGGGCCCTACCTTGTAGTGATGTTTTTTGCTGCCACACTGGGAAAATGGGAGATGGAGTGACTCAAATGCACCCTCTCTCAAGTGATAGCCCAGACTACACCATTATAACAGCAGACTAAAACAGTAATCATTCAGCTTGAAATGGGAAATTCTTTTTTTTTTTTTGAAGAAAGGTTTGACATAGCCACTTAGGAAAACTATGGACTAATCTAATGGTAAGGGTAGGACACAGCCTCATCCCATTTGTGGGGAAGCTTGATCTGCAAGTTGATCTGCACCCTCATTTGCAAATGATTCCATGTTTCCTTGAGAGTAGTGTGCTTGGCTGGATGCTTTAAAGCATGTAGCTCTTTAGTCTTGATAACACCTGTAGGTGATCTGAACTACAGCCACAATTATAATATAGATCATGCAGTGAATATCTGGGTTGGTTCGCTACACATGCAAGAAATTATTGAGCAACATTTTAGATTAACCAGCACGTTGAACTATTTTTACAGTGTATAATATTCATTTCAGTGTTTAAAATCTTACTCTGAAGTGAAATATTTTCCTAATGTAAACAAGTATATGAAAAAAATGTGAACTGAACTGACTTTTTTGCCAAGGGAAGCACATTTTTCATCTCTGTGGATTTGAACATGTTGGCACATTTTCCTGTAGACTTCAGCATTTTAATCTGAGGATTTCCTCTGGGCTTCTCCTCCCTTGTACTTCCTTCCTTGAACTTCAGAATGTATCTATAATTGAAGCAGTTTGCTCTTTGGTTAAGTAATTGAAGCTGTGATCACTAGGAGTTGTTGCCTAATGGACTAGATCATGTTTATCTCAGAATGAAACTTTATCTACTTGCCTATCTGTTGAATATTATCCATGTTCCCCAAATAATTTCTTCCTGCTGTGCCTCAGTTGAGCATTGGCCTTTCCTATTTTCCCAAGAATTGTACCACAATAATAAGTTTGTCTTTTATTAAAAAAGATTATATGAAATAAGGAAGATTAGACAAAAACTGAAGAATATTTAGTGTAAGGTTTCTAGATGGCTGACAAAGTCATCTGGATTTCTGCAAAATTCTATCAACAAAATGTTGACTGCTTTGTTTTTAGAAAGTTGAACTGGAAATATCACTCAGGGAATGTTTCAATTCCCACTTATAAACAATGGCTCTGTAAAGTTTTGGTCAAACAACAGTTCTAATCCTTCTAGTTTAGTATCCTTCCAGAGAATAAATCTAGAAATTCTACCTTAAGTTTGTTTAATTGAATGAGCCATCTAGTCCAGCATTTGTGACTTAGATGTTACCCAGATGCATTGGTTTGCAATCCCCATCAACTCTAGGCATCATGGATTTCCCCCACCATTGTTATCTGATGCAGACAGTCCATAGACTTTTCTAGATTCTTCAAATGAAATTTTTCTTCATCTGCCTGATGATCTCTGTTGCAGACTTCAAGGGTTAAATTCTGAGTCGCAGACTTGTTGTCTGATTATATAAACAAATAATGCCAATGTGACAGTTTTGGCCTGCTGAGAAGAAATATGGTTTTACTAGTGTTTCCCAATCCATCCCACATTTCTGTTACTCTTTAGATGTATATAAAGTCATAATATTTTTTAAAATGATTCTGGAGTATTTTGACATCCAAAGAAAATGCAAGAGTATTTTTTAAAAACATTTTAAACATTAATTTCCTTGACAAATGCTTTCCAAGTGATGTTGTAACTGTTGGATGGCTGGAAGGGCAAATGTGAATACAAATACTTCTTTGCCAGATGATCTTCATTTCTGGAACCTCATGTGGCCTTTAAAGAAGTTTAAAACTATTTCACATTTGTCCTTCCTAGTTTTTCCCCCAGTATGTATTACTAAAATATCCAAGTTACAATGATTTGTAGGACTAAGTAATCTTCAGTTAGCTGGATGTGAATCTTCCATTTCTAACTGCTGTTTTCTAAAACAGCTCTTTATGCATAATAGAATGAATCTTTTTGTGTCTGTATATATATAACTCTGAATATATATATATATATGTGTGTGTGTGTGTGTGTGTGTGTGTGTGTGTGTGTGTGTGTATAGGTATATTTTAAAACCTGGCTCTTGCTTGAGTGGCACAAAGGAAATGTTGATGTTGGGAGACAGTGGGGAAAATGGTTTTGAATCATTTCATTGCCTGGCAGTGACAGCTGCAGCAAGAAATGAGTGCATTATTCAGGAACTTTGACTTAGCTGGTAGTTTAGGAATATCGCCATATTTAAATGTAGGGTGTTTTTAAACTGGATGGCTTGGTAAGGTTAATGTATGAGAGAATGAGCCAGATTCAGAATATTCTTTTTTCCCCTCAAGGAAAATTTTTACTAGATATTAAGGGATTGAATCTGCCTCCTCTGCTGCTCTTCAAAGGACGGCTTTATCCCCAATTGGACCATTCTGTGTTTGCATTGGAGTTTTTAAATCTAGTAAAGAAAACCAATGGTGATGTCCAGCCAGTCATTATAATGGTGGCTAGGATACCAGCTGGAGACAAGAAAGGGTTGGAAGCTGTTCTCAGCACTGGTATAGTCAAGTTGTTTCTTCTCTTTGATGAATCTGTGTTAGCTTAATGTGTGAATATCCTCATTATATTAGATGCGTCGGAACACCTGGAAAATTAGGTGACAGGTTGGTAACTATTTGAATGGTTTCAGCATGACTTCCAATATTTGCATAAAGACCTCAAGAGAATAAGTGAAGAAGTACACGTATACTAGATTGTTTCATATAGGATTAGATTACCTAATCACAAAAATATTATGACATAAATAAGTTATATAAAGATTGTAATAATTATAGCAAATTCTGATGCCATGAAATAAATCTTAATAATTTAAGCATGGGTGTTTATAAACCAGAGGTGGAGCTTGTGGTGACTTATATTTCCATGCTCTGTACTTCCCCATTCAAGAGGCATTTATAGGATTGCTGCAGAAATTTTGTTTCTTAGCCAGATGTTATGGGGTGGTAGAAATCTAGGAGTCTTCAACTTTGCTGTATGAGAAAAAGAATTAAGCCTATTTATAGAAATCATAATTCTATATTGTTTTAAAATGTTTCTCTAATATTTGGATTAGTTGGTGGAGTGTGTGATACAGTCTATGTCCAGCAAACTTTCCACACTTCCTTCTTTCTGAAAGTTGAAGAGATCAAGCTTGGAAACTCTTTCCATTATAAAAAATAGCTAAAATGTTCTCCATAATTATTCCCCGTTTCTTTCTTTTTTGTTGTTTTATCCAAGTTTCAGACCTTTCTATTCTGATTGCTCCCATTTCACCTTATTGAAAAAATATATCAACTAAATAATTTAATTTTTAAGTTGATGTCATTTACATAGGTTTACATTATGTAAATGACATTTTTTTTAAAAAAAAATGAACATATTTCAACATTTATATCACATTTTTAATCTTTACAGCCCTCCAGTATCAGTATCACTCATAAGTACATAACAGTTATTTCATTATTCGTCCTTTCCATTTATATACATCTCTATATATAAAGGATATATATCCTTTTAATTTTAATGTACTTCTTAAATTACCTTTATGTTTAATCTTTACTTATGTTCTCTAACCAATTATACCATGTGTCCCAAATCAAATAATATTCCATTTTTCCTCTTTCTTTTAGCTCCATATTTAGCCTGTCCATCTCTGCACAGTCTAGCACCTTCTTATTACCATACCATCTGAGGGAGTGCTGTCCTGCTTCCAGTTCTGTGCGTAGGCAATTCTAGCTGCAGTTGTTATGTGCAGTATGATATACTGAGTTTTCTTACAAAAATTTCCTCTTACTATACCTAATGTAAATGACATTTTTCAATGTTTAAGCATTATTAATTGAATCTGCAGCTATCAGTAGGTCTAATTTCTAGTAATGAAAGGACAGATTTTCTTCAACCAAACACTTGCTAGATATGTTGGAACTCCTGAAGTTCTGAGCTTAACTTTTAGAGGAGGTCGGAGTACTGAATGATGGACAAATTAATAGGATGCTTTGCGGTGCGGGAGTCTATGGGCACTGCATGATGCTAAACTGGCTGGGAGAAAACTCTTGACTTTTGCATGTAGCTCAGTAGTTTCCTCTGCACTTGATAAAAAATATATAACATCTATCTACATTTAACTTTATGTATTTTCCCCCAACAGCTGGCTTACCCCTTGCTGTTCTAAACTTGGCAAAAGTAAAGCCGTATCAGAGGGGCTTTTTCTGTAATGATGACAGCATCAGCTATCCGTTCCATGACAGTACCATCACATCTACTGTCCTCTACACAGTGGGGTTCACTGTCCCCATTTGCTCTGTAAGTAGCAAAATATACAGGCAGTTGTTTGGGGAAAGTATTAAGTATGTGTTGAGAACTCACCATTTCATGAAAGCTTTGAACATAAAGACTTTGGAGTAGTTGACTAATTATCATAATAGCTGAGAATGTACATCTGTAAAATGTACTGAAGTTTCTGCTTATTACCCAAAATAAAAGTTTGACTCTTTCTAATTCTTTTGAAATGACAAGGTGATAAATTTGGATTTCTGCAGGTTGAAAAATAAATAGCTAAAGAATAATTTAAACTTAAATGAGCAGAAGACAGTACAGGAGATGTAAATAAAATGGAAAAAAATAATGACAATTAAAACAAGTTTGTAGAGGAGGTTTGTCAGAATGGGAAAAAGTCTGAAATCAAATGGCAATCCTAGCCTCATTTGTCAGGGAATAAGTCTTATAGAACTCGGAGAACAAAATCAATTGTGCTAATCAGCAGAGAGCTGCTGTTTCCTTTTTCAGTGACACAGTCGTGTATACAGATTAAAATGTTTTTCATATTTCAGAGCGGTCTGTCTTTTGGTAACATTTGAGCACCCAAAAGCAGAGAGTTTATGGGTATTTGATACTCTTGATTTGGTATTTACTTGTGATAAAGAAGTGAGTGATGCAGAATTTGTTTTAATCAGAATGGTATTATGTTTACATGAACACTTTTTCCAGGTAATCTATTTTTAACACATAACTTGGCTCAGCTAAATTTTTATGCAAAATAGATACAAGAGGGGGAATACCTAGATGTTTTCTTTTTACATTAATGATCTTTATTAGGTTTGACAAAGTTTTGTTCAGTGAGGTTGTTGCGAGATTAGATTCAAAGTTATGTATCAGAACAAGTTAGCAACTTTTAAAATCCAATTAATTTCAGTAGATTTGAGCAGATGCCATTAAAACTTCTCATTTTTACAAAAAAAACAACAGCCTTGGAGGTAAAATTGTTTAGCAATGTGTATAATAAATAGTAAATATCCCTAGTCTGCTTTAGACAAGTAGCACGTAATGTGATTAATGTTTTTTTAAAAAAAATATGAATTTCAAATCAACAACTTCAAGCTTCAATATTTTCATATTTTTTAAAATTACTCTTTTTAACACTATGTTTTTATGCCTTTGCAAGGTAATTTTAAAATTTGCTGATTTTATGTGTAATGTTTTAGCTCCATAGTACTCATACTTTATTGTTTTTCATTTGAATTCTATAAATCCTGGTACAAAACTGTATTATTTTGATCAGTGAAGTAAGAAAAATATATTTATTTATTTATTTGTTTTGATTTTTTGGGTCACTCAATTCCAGTGAACTTTGTTCTGCTCTTTGCACATTTAAAAAAATACAGTCAGTTTAAAGAGTTTAACTTTCTTCAATTACTACTTTGAATACAGTCCTTGACTTATGACTACTTATGGATACAATACAGTCCTTGACTTATAGTTATCCAAAGTTGCTGTTGCTAAATAAGGCAGTTGTTAAGTGAGTTTTGCCCCATCTTTTGACCTTTATTGCCACAGTTATTAAATGAATAACTGCAATTTTTAACTTAGTAACACAGTTGTTAAGTGAATCTGGCTTCCCCATTGACTTTGTTTGTGAGATGTTCACAAAAATGATGACATGACTGTGGGACATTGCAACCACATAAATACATGAGAGTTGCCAAGCACCTGAGTTTTGATCATGTGATCAGGAGGATGCTTGTAATGGTTGTAAATCTGAAAAACTGTCATAAGTCATTTTTTTCAGTGCTATTGCAACTTTGAACGGTCATTAAACAAATGGTTGTAAGTCAAGGACTATCTGTATGCGGAAATATTTTTCATAGGAGACATAATAAAAATAATATTAATAATAATTCTTTATTGTCAATGCACAACATATTTACAGTGAGATTGGTTAGCTCCTTCAGTGCACAGCCCCCCAACACAATACAATTCACAGTAAAAACAAAGAAAAAAGAAATATCCCTAACCCAATAAATCATATTAACAAACACCCAGTTCCATTACATCAATGTGAACATGTTACAGGTTGCGCTGGCCCTGCAAGTCCATCGTACTACTTCATTATGATGTTATTTTGTGTACTTCCCATAGATAAAATCTGAACTAATTCCAAAATAGTTTTACAATATTATCTCAGCTATTCAGTATGAACTCATTTACATTAGGATATAGTAATGTATTCTGATAGCTTATTAAGATCATTTGCTAAGCCCATAGGAATATTCTTATTTCTTTTTATATTCTCCAAATTCATGAGATCTGTATTCTGTTCAGTTATTAAGCTAATACTAATGACTAGTAAAAAAGTAACATAAAACTATAATAAAAAGGAGATCTGCACAATGTATTTGAGATTGAGTAGTTGAGTTGAAACAACAACTTGAAGTTGCTTTCCAAATCACAACTTGAAGCTTGTTTCTGAATGATACATGCTATTAGTTTATGTTATTGGTGGTTTGTCTAAATCCCAAAGCTCACACAATGTTGTAGGCTTCATAAAATAGTTCTATTTCTCAAACTTTCCCATCGTCAGCCAGCATTTTTCAGGGAAATGTTGGATCTCTTATTCTCTTTATATACTCTTGTTCAGTGTTCTCTGATTTGTATTGCAAGTTTAGTTACCGCATACCACATATGAGCTGATGCTTTCAGATGTATTCATCTGACCATAATCTGCATGACATAATGTTGGCATTTCTTTCCAACTGCTAAGCAGGATTTCATATTGGATAGGGTCCTAGCTTCTTAAATAGGACATGAATAATACAGATATTATTGTGTTTCATTCTGATCATTTCATCCCTTCCTGTTTGTCATTTTGAGTTTCAAGGCTATTAATTATAGGACCTCTTATGCCTTTCCTCTTTGACAAAACCCAAAATTTAGATCCTTAATTCCACCTATATATGAGTCCAAATTTTGAGTAGATAAAACATAGTTAAGGAAAAAATGTACATCTTGTAAACTTAAAGTATAGTGTGATTTATCTAGAATGGTTAATCAAAATGTAGTTTGGTTGAGTTGATTCAAATTATTGGGTTATTTTTATGAAAATAATTTCCAGTAACTTGCAGTCTCATATGTTCATGTTTTTTATTGCATGTGATCATCAGGCAAGTAAAAATTGCATGGAATATTTATTTAATTGTAGTTAATTTCTTAGTCTAAATCATAAACTGTAATTTATTTAATTGTTCAGTGGGAAAGACAATATATTGGAGTTGGCTAAATATAATTTAAATGAAAAAGTTTGCCAAGAAAACTGCAGGTATTTGTCCAGGCAGTCTTCGAGAATTGAACATGATTGAATGACTCCCCATAATGACATTTAGCCACAACACTGAAAAATTAAACATGCCACAGTTAATTAAAAGGTAAAGTTTCCAGACTTCACCATGCAGCTTAATTAATTTGTTTTCATAACAGTAGATTGAGAGTTAATTCTGGATTTAAACCAATCTATTGTACGCAATTTATCCCTTAATAACAGAATAACACAGTTGGAAGGGACCTTGTAGATCCGTGATGATGAACCTATGGCACACGTGCCAGAGGTGGCATGCAAATACCCTCTCTAATGGCACACAGGCCATCGCCCCAGTTCAGCTCTGAAGCGTATGCGTGTGCACCTCTCGCTGCCCAGCTGGTGTTTGGGTCTCTGCCGTGCATGCATGGGGGGCATGCACGGGGGGTCACAGGGGTCCAGGCACATGTTCAGGGGGGAGGGACGGGGGAACGCATTGCATATGGAAAGAACATTCTGCAGAAATGAGAATAAAAATATACAAACGATAGGCACTACATTAGTGCCTTGGGCAGTTCGGCTGCTGAACTTTTGAAACTTCATATGACATAAAAAGAAACATAGTGCCTCTATTCACTGAAAGTTTGAACAGTTAAAAGCATACATTTAAAATTCATGAATACAAAAAATCAAACTCCATGTTAGCAGCCAGTCAAACTTGCTTATCATGTCTCATTAGGTTCTTTATGCAAAGTAAACTCAGTTTCATCAGATATTTTTTTTATTTTTGAAATGCAGAACTGTGTGTGGATATAAATCAAAATAAATATTGTTATTACAGTATTTAAGAGAAACAACTGAACTAACAAAGCAATTCAATTATACATCTTTTAAAAGTGGAGATTTTAGCCTTTAACTTTAACTTTTATATGCCGCCCAATCCCGTAGGACTCCGGGACTCCAGATTCTATTGACTATAGCTGTTGGGGATATATTGTTAGAAATTATGAACTTGTCTCATCTCATATTAACTCTAGCAAAAGTTTCTCTATTGGTACAATTTAGATAGAAGCTTTAGAGGGCTTGTTGTTATTTGGACTAGTACAGGAAAATAATTAACATTTCAGAACATGTAAAAATGCTACACCTTTGCCCTGTAATAGGAGTGTTTATGTACAGAGTTTCTTCTAGCCACATCGTCTTCCAATAAATGCTCTATTAAGCTCCTTGCTAGACAGGAATACTATGGCTATCTGTCTGTCTGTTTGCCTGTCTGTCTGTCTCTCTCACTCTCACTCTCACTCTCACCCACCCCTCCCCCATCCCAACCAGCAAGAGCAGGACACCTCCATTAAAGTACTCCCTCTGCATGTCTCCCCCAATAGAAAGTGAATTGTCTTTTTGGAATATATATTTTTTTGTGCTAAATCTCTGAGGAAGTGATTGATGGATTAAAATGGGCCCTGAAACAGCAGCACTGCTCTTGTATTCTGGAATATTATGCATTTTTGAGAAGAGAAAACTTGTTTAAAGTGCTATGTTTGTAGTTTTGGGTGGTTCCCAAGCATTTTTGAAGCCTTAATTTGATCTGCTCTGAAAGCCATTCAGAATTTCCTCTTAATGTTGCTAGGCTATAGTTCCTTCATTCTTTTTCCCCCCTCATCTGTAATTGTACAAAGTTATCCTTTGGTTAAATGTGTTAATATACTTAACTTACCATTCTTTTCATACCAAG